CTTGTTTTCTATCTAAATTATATAAAGGACAAACTCAGACTATGGGGGCATGGCCCATATTTATATTAATCTCAATGTGTTCTAGAAGGTTCCATAAGCTCTAGAATGCTCCATGGAATTCTAGAAGGTTCCATAAGTTCTAGAAGGTTCCATGAACAATGACTAACCACATAACTTTGGATTGCCAACTCAACACCCTCTCTCAATTCAAAGTCTCCATACCACAGAGCCTTCTCAACTCCAAGAATTGAGGGGCAGCAAGACCTTTTGTAAACATATCAGCAATCATAACACCAGTGCTCAAGTACTCCAAATTGATAGAGCCAGATCCAATGTGGTCCCTGATAAAGTGAGTCCTGATGTCAATGTGTTTGGTGCGATGATGGAAAGCTGGATGCTTTGCCATCTCAATACACCCTTGGTTATCATCAAACATCCTCACTGGACCAGTATTGATCCCAAATTCCTTGAACACTTGCATTAGCCATAATGCTTCTTTCACACCTTCGCTGAGAGACATATATTCTGCTTCAGCTGTAGAAAGAGCAACCGTTGCTTGTTTCTTGGACCTCCATGTTATTGCACCATTGGCATACTTGAACACAAACCCAGTAGTAGACTTTCTGTCTGACTTATCTCCAGCCCAGTCAGCATCACAGTATCCAAGAAGCTCACCGTTATCATTTTTGCCAGCCTCATATCTTATTCCCAAATCTTTGGTTCCTTTCAAGTATCTTAAAACTCTCTTTGCTGCCTTATAATGCACCTCCTTTGGTTCCTTGAGGTATCTGGATAGAACACCGACGATATAGCTGATATCGCTTCTAACAGTATTAGCAGCAAACAATAATTTTCCAACCAAAGATCTGTAAGCTGTGGCATCACAATCCTCAGCACTGTTGTCCACCAAGGTGAGCTCCTGACCAGCAATAGTAGGCGTCTTATCTGGGTTGCAATTCTCCATTCCAAATTCCTTTAACATAGAGCCAATATAGTCTTTCAAGCTCATGTTAATACCTCCATTATCTTGCGAGATGTTGATACCCAAAAATTTCCTGACTATTCCCAAGTCCTTCATCTTGAAGACATTCATCAATTCACTTTTCACTTTCCTGATGGCAAAATCTGAGGTACCAGTTATCAATAAATCATCAACGTAAAGCGCAACCATCACAAAAGACTTTTCGGATTTCCTTGAATATAGACAATATTCAGCACCGTTTCTGACAAAACCAAGCGACGACAAAACACTGTGGATTCTTTCATTCCACACCAAGGGAGCCTGTTTCAAACCATACAAGCTTTTCTTCAATCTCAAGACACTGGTTTCCCTTCCTTTAACCACATACCCTTCTGGTTGAGTCATGTATAATTCTTCCTGAAGAGATCCGTTGAGGAATGCAGTTTTCACATCCATCTGATGAACTGCCATTCCATTCTTAGCTGCAATACTCAACATCAACCTGATAGATTCATAACGCACCACAGGTGAGAATGTCTCATTGTAGTCAATACCCTTCACCTGTGTGAATCCTCGAGCAACAAGTCTTCCCTTGAAGACTCCGTTATCTTTCTTTGCAAAGACCCAACGACATGTAATTGGCTTTCTTCCTTTCGGCAACTCGACCAATTCATAAGTGGAATTCTCCTTGTGAGCCGCAATTTCTTCGTCACAAGCGCGCTTCCATTCTGCACTTTCGTTGCTCTTCATGGCTTCCTTATAATTTCCAGGAACATCACTTCCACCAGCCAAAGCAGCAGCTTCACCAGCCATAAAACAAGAGGCAACATAATTCACAGGTTTGTACTCTAACAACTTGCCTTCGGCATCATCATTCAGTTCTGATTCCTCATCACAATCACTTGGCTGTTCAACATGTGGCTCAATTTCCGAAACCACCAAGTTGTCATTGCTACTACCATTAGGAACAAAAGAAGTAAGCTCTTTTGAGCTACTATCGTTTCTGTATTTCTTCCTTTGTGGTTTCTCAATAGCAATTTCCCTCTCTGAATCTGAACTGAATGTATCAGATTCTTGTTCAACTTCTGCCAAGATCCCAAATGGATTTCTTTTAATCAAACCTGTACTTTTCTTGGGTCTAGAACCCGATGATCTTTTCCTTTTTGTAGCAGTAACCAACTTGAACTCTTCTGAAACCATCCTTGATGGGATTAACTCTCCAGTGGCATCCTCATCATCGTCTATGATTCTCATTTCCACGTCTTTGCTTGAGGAAACAGTGGACTCTCTTTCTGAATCATCCAAATCGGAAACCATTCGTTCATCATCAACCGAGATCTCACTTGCAACATCCTCTAAGTCTGGATCACTTATAACAGGGCCTGGTGCAACGCCACCAGCAAAACCCATACCACCAGAGCTGCTTACCTTAGCAATCTCGGTATCCACATCAGTGACTCGCTTCACATCCTGATAGTAATATCTTGACTCATCAAATCTGACCTGAGTCGCCACAATAATCTTGTTGGCAGCAGGATCAAAAATTCTGTACGCACAGTGATCTCTATCATACCCGAGCATCACTCCAACCTTGGCGGTAGCATCAAATTTTCCATTTCTCAAACTGTTTGGTATAACCACATATGCAAGGGAACCAAAGCAGCGAAGATGGTCAAGGCCCGGCTTGTATCCATACCAACGACCATATGGTGTGTGGAAATTAATAACGCGGGATGGCGTCCTGTTAATCAAATAAACAGCCGTGCGGACACCTTCAGACCAAAACTGAACCGGCATAGAAGCCCCAATAATTAAAGATCTAGTTTTGTCTTGAATTGTCCGATGCATTCTTTCAGCAACACCATTTTGATAACTATGGTGTGGCACAGTCAACTCATGGGCAATACCTTTGCTTCTCATGAAATCATGCAACTTTCCTGTAACAAATTCACCACCATTATCAGTGCGGATAGTTCCCACGGTAAACTCTTTTCCCCGAGACTTGAACATTGTTTCGGTGTATGTAATAAACTCAATAATCCTGTCAGCACACTCTGACTTGTTTTTCAAACACTTAACCTCCACAAACTTGGAATACCCGTCGACAATAGTGAGAAAATATTTGCTCGAATCAATAGACCCATAATTGATTGGGCCACACACGTCCATATGCAACAATTGTAAAGGCTGTTGTGGTTTAGCACCCTTGCCGCTCTTTGGTCTTCTGGTAACCCCTTTACTTGTCAAGCAGCTTTCACATAACTGCACAGAATCTTCACTGTAAAGTTTACCTTTCACCAAATGAAACATCAGATTGAACTTGTTCATAATATTCATACTGGGATGGCCTAATCTCTGGTGCCACAACCCGCTCTTATCAACACTGTTAAATGCCACACCATCGACACTGGTGTGCAAAGCATAAAGATCACTCATAACTGGATCTTTAACAGCAACCACTTTCTTTTCAGGGTACATTTTCACCTTGTTTCCTTCAAATAATAATCTTGCACCATTCAGAGTAGCCTTGGAAACAGAAATCAAATTGGCCTTTGACCCTGGAACATAATAAGCATCCTTGATTTCGATACTGGTGTTATCACGTAACTTAAACACCGCAGACCCGATACCTTGAACCTCGAGAGAACTACCATCAATACCTGAGATCTCACCAGAAAAAGGACCAATGGTTTTAAACATCTTTCTGTCATTCAAAATATGTTGCGAGGCACCAGAGTCAAAGTACACTCTGGAGGCCCTACCATGCATTCCCATAAATGCATACCAAGATGGTGATGGATTCTTCAGATCACCACCCATTCTCTCCTTTCTAGGAGCCTTGCAATCCTTCTTGAAATGACCGGGTTTTCCACAATTGAAGCACTTGTACTGTTTCTTAAAAGCAAACACAGGTTCCAAACCCTCAACACTGGTGGAACCAACCGATTTATCTCCAATGATTTCTCTTGTCAAATCTTGGACAAGCCCAATATCAACATTTCCAATAGTCCTGCCATTTCTAGACTCATACGCAGTCATGACTTCCCTGGAAAGATTTGCATTAAACCCGGCTTTCTGACCCAAGCTCAAAAACAACGCACACAACACAGTGTTTCCGTCTAATTTGCCAACAGTATTCTTGAAGTGATTGAAGGCATCAATGAAATTCTCAACGTTTCCGTTGCTAGATTTCAACCACTTAGCGTCAATTAAATCTGAGATAATACCAACAGCATTTGTAACAGTCAATGTACCATAAGCATCCTTGAGAAACATAAACAAGTTTCTACCAGTACCATCAAATTCGGAAGCCTTAGTCAAAGCAGCGCCTGAGATGCTGTTGAAAATGGCTGTTGAAATAATCTCATCCATAGTAGCAATCAATTGGGCAACTTCATTAGCAGTTTCCAGCCCGTCGGTTCCGGTTTCCCCATTGATCAAGTAAGCATGTAAACCAAGACCTTTCATCTTCATCTTAACACTGATCAAAGTAAACCAATCATAAAAGTTCCCGGAACCCTTCAACTTCTCATCAGCAGCGAACGAAGTGAGAGCATTTGAACTCATAACCTGTTGTAGTTTTGTAACTCTAGTTACAAAAGACATTGATAACAATAATATTCAATAATATTTATTCCCTTGTTATACTTGTTTTACTTGTTAACTATCTAAATTATATAAAGGACAAACTCAGACTATGGGGGCATGGCCCATATTTATATTAATCTCAATGGGTTCTAGAAGGTTCCATAAGCTCTAGAAGGTTCCATGAACAATGACTAACCACATAACTTTGGATTGCCAACTCAACAAATAAGAATAATAACAAGGATAGTTTGATAGTATTTGTTATTGGTAATGACTACTGTAACTAGGGTTACAAAACTACAACAATCTCAATGAGTTCAGTTTTTTAAGTACAAATTCGAATGCTACTGAAGATACTGAAACGGTTGATGAGGATAATTCACAAAAAGATAAGATCCATAATTCAAGCGTGTTGAACAGAAGATGGGTTATATTCAATAAGGAATCTAAAATGTTTGAGTGCAATTTTAATCCTTGTACTGCGGCTTGGAAAGACGATCACTTAGCTCGGTTAGTCCTAAGCCATCTTAGGGCCACACATGGTATTAGAAGTATAAAATCTATCAATGCCAACCAAAGAATAAAGAGTAAGACAATTGATGATTATACCGGCAAGACTGTGCCCAAAGAGTTTATTCATTTGTTAAACTGGACACGCGAAACCCGAAAAGTCCTTTTATACTTTTGTTTAAACAATGTGCCTTACACTGATATATATGATCCCTTGTTCAAACATTTCAAAGAAAATAGAGCCAATAACGTTCCTGCTTTGAAACAACGAATTGAAGTTCTTGATCGCGCAATAGTTGAGCGGCTAAAAGCAATATTTAAAACAAAGTAAGCGATCTCCATAGAAACTGCCGGCCTAAATCTAGGCATATTGGCTGTATTGAATAAAGGCGACGTCTTCGATACCGAGGATCTTAAACACCCAAAAGAAAGGCTCGAAAAACTATACATAATTTTTGATCTCGTTTTGCTCGTGAATGAGTCCACAAAAGATATCAAAAATGGAATTGAAAAGGTCTTGGAGAAATTTGAAATACAAGATAAAATCGTTTCATTTACAGCCGATAATTTGGTAACTAATGAAGCAACCATAAGGAAGCTAGGGGCTGCCTCAATACCGTGTATTCTTCATAGTATCAATCTTTTTGCAAATCACATATTGATCAATGTTGTGCAGGTTGATAGAAAGCAGAAGGCAAGGAATAAATTTTTAATTGATGAGGATTATATAGGGGAAGAAATCGAGCTTTATTCACATTTGAGAGCGATTAGTGGAAAAATAAACTATACTGGAAGTTATAGGACAATAATAAGACTGATAGTGAACTCTATTCCTCCATTACCTATTTTAACTATATGGTCCTCCAGCTTTCGATGCTTTCAATGGTTTCTGAGAAATATTCAGAAATTGAAGGAATCAGATAATCCGGAAATAAACCAACTTTTTTCTGGTGTTAGCGACCTGAGTATAGAAGTGCTCAAGGAAGACGTCGCTTTGCTAGGCCGCGGGTACAGGTTCGTAACACTTCTTCAGTCTCTGGAATACGATAATTTAAAAGGATTGTTGGTATGTTTGGCCTCCTTTTAACATTTATACTTTACGATTTGCTCCTATTTTCTTAATGGTTCGCAAGGCCTAGATCATTATCACAATAAGGAAATAAATAGAAAATATGCAAAAGCGTTTAAAGAAATAGCGGAAGATTTCGTGCTGGTTTTCAAGGGGTACCCTCATACATAAGCAATAAAAATCTAGAAGAGTTGCTACCAAAGTGTTCTAAGGGCATAATTTCATCATTCGTTTCTCCAACGCCTGTGTTCTTGAAATATTTGGTAAAATATCTCAATAAGCCAGCAATGCAATTATATATTATTCTGGAAAAAAGGTTTGACTGGTGGTTGCCTGTGATAGACCAATGTCCCGAAATGACAATAGACGAAGATAAGCTTGAAGCATACGTTAGAAAATTGCATGCATTACATGAAAAAGAGAAATCCCTTGAGAGTGAATCTACTGAACACGATGTTGGTCTTGAGAAACTTATTGATCATTATTTTTTGCAAAGTACGTCTATAATGAATGTAGCACTAGAAAATGAGATATATAGGTTACGTTTTATGCTTGATGTCCATAACACCCGCTCTTGCTACGAATTCTCTTTCAGCCTTTTGAAAACGTTGGGGATTTTTCTATCGAATCCATTAATGTATCTAACTCCAAAATTGAATCAAGTTTTTCACAGATTCGAGATATTATTGGAGTGCGGAGACTGTGCTTGAGTCATAAGAGCGTGATGAGGCATTTGAGGATCAAATCGTACTTAACTGCCACACAAGGCGATATACTTTTCAAGCTAAGTGCCAAACATGAAGCTGGCCAGAGAAATATACCAGCAGCTAAATTAAGAAGATCATTTTCCAATAATAGCAGTTTGCATTTGGATTTGAATGCTCCTGAAGGGCAAAAAGACGAAGATATTGACGAACCTGAAGAGTTTTATGATTCGGATCTATATTTGGTTGGGAACGAGGATCCTGAATTCGATTTTAACTGATATTTTTAAGTGTTGCTCATACTTTCATTGCTACTATAAAATATCTTTGCTTTTTTATTTAATAAATTTAGAATTTTGACCTAAAAACTCTGTTCTGTGGATACTATGTACATGTAGAGATGTCTATTCACCACTAAACCCACAAAACTGAAGAAAATTTGAGGATCTAGCACCAAATATTGATGATTCAAAACATTATTATTCAACAACTCTATAGCATCCAGGCTCTACACGTGACTTATACTTTTACACTATAATGACAAACACTTTAGCTAATAAAGTTAAACTATAATGACAAACACTTTAGCTAATAAAGTTAAATATAAGGACAAACAGCACGACACCTAGCAACCTTAAAGCAATATTGGCTGTAAATATAATCTTGATAGCAACGACTATAATATTTATGAATAGAGATCTAATGATCTGGTTCCTAGTATAAGACCTACAGACCCATTTACAGTGTTTTCATTTTTTATTCGTACCAACCACCGGAAATGTTCATACCAGTGGCAAAAAATAATTCATACCGACCCCCGGTATTTTTCGTACCACCGCAGCGGGATTTATTCAGACCATCTAAGAAAAATAGTTCATACTATTGCACTTTAATTATTCATACCAAAAGTGTATAAAATTCATATTAATTCCTTTTTTTTCATGTGAATGGCTCTATAAGCCTCTAAGCTACTCAGTTTAATTAAATTATACTCATTTTTTCCATAATTCTGTGCTACTTTCTACAAAGCCTGATATCTATAATAATATTAATAGTAGCACGTAATTACGGTTTTCAAAAAAAGGAACGAATGTATGGTAAGCTGTTCTCCATATAAAGTGAGCAATTCCCACTTTTATTGCTTAATTCGGGCTCTATATGATCACCAGATTACATACAAAAAAAAAGCATAAGCTTTTACTACCAAAACTAAGTATGGACTTGAAAGCCAAGCTACTAACTGATGGGTATGTTGATGGCCTAGGTAATAGATTCTATACTGAACCAAGTGAAATGACTTTAGAGTCTGAAATAGCACCAGTTGAAGCTTGCTTTAGTTACAGTCACTAAAAGCATTTTGAAAAACCCGGTATCATGGATATCATGGAAATTGATCCTATTTTCGAAGAAGGCGTGTCAGCTTACAAGGCTGCAAAATTGGAAGATATACCTTTGCAAACTGCTTACACATGGAAAAGAAATTGGAACAAAATACTTGTTAATGAATTAAATGGTATCTCGGAGCCAACAAAGAAAAGAGGTCGTAAGCCCCTTCTTACTGGTGAGCATAAGGAATTCCTTCAAAAATTGATGAAGGAAGATGCTACAGTGACTCTCGATTTTATGTTGGAGAGACTCAAGAAAGCCTTCACCAATGTAAGAACCAAGGCTACAACAATCTATAACTTTGTAACCAAGGTCTGTAAGCTAAGTCTCAAACGTATTTCTAAATGGGCTTTGAGAATGGATGGTCTGCTGTGGGTGAAAAAGCAGTTCTTACTGTTCCCGTAACCAGAGGGCTTAATATTTCGTTCATTGGGGCAATTTCTGTCAAATTTTGTATTGAATTAAAGGTCAGAACTCCAGTGGCACTGAGTGGGTTGGAACTTGTGTTTTTACCTCCTTATTCTCCAGGGTTGAGTGCTATAGAAGAATTCTGGTCAGTATGTAAGAGTAAAGTCAAAAGATCAAACTTGAGCAAGAAGGAGCAATTAACTCCAAGGGTGAAAGGAGCCACAGAAAATATTTCCCTTGATAGTTACAAGGGATTCTGCAGACATGCTTCTAGACATATTGATCTCTGTTTACAACAGCAGCTCTTTTGAAAACAAATACCAAAGATGAAGAAAAAAAATTAGAAAACAAAATACAGAAAACAAACCAAAAAAAAAAAGTAAAAACTATAAAAAAAATTACATAAAGACGCAACAAAGCTCCAAAACAAATTGATGAAAATTTAAAATTTTAAGGAAGGACGAAACCACTCCAAAATTTGGTTATGAGCCTTTGAAATGGTAAATGAGTATTGCAAAGGGGCTTTATTGGGTGTGCGGGTCCCCTATAACATGTTTAATAATATCAAAGATAAAATATTAATGAAAGCATAAGAATTTTATGCATTTAGTATGAATTTTGTATTCTGTTGGTATGAATAATTGAAGTGCAATAGTATGAACTATTTTTCTTAGATGGTCTGAATAAATCCCGCTGCGGTGGTCGGTATGAATTATTTTTTGCCACTGGTATGAACCTTTCCGGTGGTTGGTACAAATAAAAAATGAAAACACTGTATGTTATGATAAAAAGTGTCAGTTTTCGAGCCCGTCTAATGACTTTTCTCCCGTCGCATAATTCATTCAGGAGCCACTACCGCTAAAAAAATGTTTCACTAAGCCCCACGCGGGGCTCGAACCCGCAACCTTTCGATCACATTAATTTTAAGAGTCGAATGCACTACCGATTGTGCTAGCGAGGCATGCTCCGCGACGGGGAATTGAACCCCGGTCCCCCGCGCGACAAGCGGGGATTCTAGCCACTAAACTATCACGGAATTGATGTTCTTTTGTTATATTATTGGATCATGGTTGGGTTGAGTCCTGGTTACCAACGGTACCAACGGTAACCTGCGCTGGGTGGCGTAGTGGGCAGAACCATAGACTAAGAAAGGGTCGCGTGTTCGAACCCCGCTCGCTGCATTAACCACCAGGTCACGTTCAGTACGCTAGCTGAGTAAGGAGTAATACCACTCTGAAGGTAAGATACAAGGGGGTTTTAGTGAGTAAAAATCTCACACTACCGGTAAGGTTGCGTCGCTGGTGTCTTTCGAAGATTTCCTCCTCCCTGGCTAAAAAAAAAATAGTGACAGGTTGCTACAAGTCAAAAACATTGCATTTTCCAACCCAAACTCCCGGGTTACCAAAAATATTGGGAGAAAACGGACACCAAATAAGTCGCCATAGCTGCGCATAATTGATCATAATAACCGTACATAAAAAGTGCGATGACCTATATAGCTCTTAGTAGTTAAATATAGGGACTTTATAAAAAAAAAAAAAACAAATAAAAAAAGTTCCATTATAATGAGTATTAATAATACCAAAAGAATTCCAAAGCCTTCCAACTACTCCACTGATCCAACAAATGATCCACCTTCTCAAGAAACCCTGGTTTCTTCTGATATTATCGTTGACTTAGATCATGCAAATCCCAACGCAACCGATCAAAACAATGTAAACAAACACGGAAATGAACCACATTCAGACGAAGAAATCACTGAGGAAGATGACAATACTTTTTTAAGTACTGCTGAAACCTTTGCAACCCCATCTAATACCATAAATGAGGCCTCTAATGCTGATTCTGATGTTGATATTGCCCACCGCCCAGCCCCGGAAATTAATGTTTCTCCAGTTGATTGCGATCGCAATCTTGATAGTGCAGGTGACACTAGCGTCGACATGCATATGTCAAATCAAGCCACCATTGAATCTCAAGGAGATTCACAACCTTCTGTTTCTATTGATTTTGTTACTGAAAACTCTGAAAACCAAAAAAAAATTGAAAACAACAAAACCCAAAAAAACTCTGAAAACCAAAAAACCCCAAAAAAAACTAACCCAGCCCCAGTTGCTGCTTTCAGCAGATCCTACGCCCAAATCGCCTCGGGCTCTAAAGGCGCATCCCAACAGGGGACCCTGATTATTAACACCACCTCCACTTTTCAAAATGTTTTAGCCAAATTCGAAAGAGTTTTTAAATGGGCTAAATATCTCAAATCAATCAAGTTCGAACACCAAGATGTCCTTGAATATGCTATTAAGGAAAAGGGCATGAGGGGATCACTTTTCGGATTTGACACACAAAAAGTGGAAAATGTTGAAGAGAAATATCAAGAATTTGTTAAAATCTACACCATTGAAAAGTTTTTCAAATTTTATACAAATTCCCATTTAATTAATGAATTCTCAAGATTGAAACAATCTAATATTGCAGAGGAGGATTACATTAAATTTATTATGAGCCATCAAGATAAACAAAAAATCATGATGTCATTTATTATCCCACCTGAGCTCTACCGGAAGTATGAGCTTGATGATCATTTGAGTACAATAAAGGATGCCTTCCAAAAATTAATCGATGTTAAATTAACCAACATTGAAACTGATTTGAATGATAATGATGATATCAACTTCATCAAGAAAGCTTTAATTGAAGCTCAAAACTACTTGTTTATTTCAAATGAAACTATTTGTCTCAAATCCTCACTTATCCCAATATTGAAAGGTCAATTACAAACTAAGAATGAAAAGTTACGTAATGCATTTATTGATTTTGTCACTAGCCATTTAAGTGTTGACATTGAACAATCCACTTACAAGCCACGCATCAATATCAACAAGAATGATAAAGAAATCCAATTGATTGAGATAACAGCCTTGGAAACAACCCCCGACTATTTTGTCGATGCTACCATCAAGCAAGCGCTTGACCTAGCCCAAATTGAACCAACATCATTCTCAGTGATTAAAAGTGACATGACTAAAAGACCTAACCAGGAGCTTAAAAATCGTTACATTTATGGTTACTTGGAAATGGAACCAGGAAAACAAATCCCGGTTATTCACCAAGACAACATTGTTTCTAAAGTCATTACTAAATGCTTACACTGTATCAATTGTGGTTCAAGAGAACACACCAGATACAATTGCAAGCAAGCATCTTGCGCGATTTGCAAAAAGCCTAGCCATGTAGCTAAAGACTGTTACTTTAAGCGGCCAAAGAAAAATGTTACAGATGATCGTCATGAGAACCCCAACCAGAAGCAAAATCAACCACCAGTGATTGAAGTTCCTTCTACCGAGTTCACCATGGTTCATGGTTCATCTAGATCCAGACAGTCAAAACCACCACAAAATGAACTGAGCAATTTATGGAAGAATCCATTCCACCAATTGGGATTAATATCCAAAGAAAGAGATGATGATTATGAAAATATTCAAAC